ACAGAACTTTGCACAGTCAAAACTAATCAAGTCTAGCAGTTTTCAAGGATTTATCAATCTGGACCGTTTAAAAGATAAAAGACAGGACCTTATAAACCGACATATTTAGTTTCGGTTTTGATTAATTAATTCAAATGTGCTGAGGTTTCGGAGTTGCAGTGATAGAGCATTTGTGTCATCTCACTCCACAATAATTCACGTTTTGAGAGTTGAGTCACTCTTCCGCTCTTTAACTTATATTTAGGCATTGTGATTACTTGAATATACAGTCAGAGTTGAGTCACTCTTCCGCTCTTTAACTTATATTTAGGCAGTGTGATTACTTGAATATACAGTCACTACATTCAAAATCAGATATGTTATAACTTATCACGCTAAAAACTTGTCACTCATGAATCGTAATGTCTGTCTGCTGAGCCCTCGTGATAAGTGCGGCTATCGAAGTTTACATGAGCACCAGTGCCTCTGCAGTGTGTGTGTGTGTGTGTGTGTGTGTAGTAACGTTGTGATGACTGATTGGATGCAGTACATGCATACTTGGGCTTGTTTGTTAAACAATTAGCCTATGCAATTCATATGATTAAAAACCGCCAAACTGACCCCAAACCAGCCCAAATTTTTTCCACCTGCCCAAGCCAATTTGGCAGGAACCCGCCCAATCTGGCAACACTGCCTGCCGGATTCGCCAAAAAGCTTTTGTTGAAAGACGGAGCAAGGGGCGTGGCAGTACTGAAACACTGTCTAAGCTGTTCGCCAATCACAACACACTGGGACAGCTAACCAATCACAACACATTTTGTTTTTCGGAAGGCGGACCTTCATCAAAGCCGGAACTAATCGAGCCGTTTGTGCCAGGCTGGGGAGAAAGGTATTTTAATAATGTAAATTATGTGAAAAATAATGCGTTTTTCGAACCACCAAGCATGAGAGCATGTTCTAGTACACCCCAAAAACAAAATCAAGACTTTGTAAAAGAGCATAATAGGACCCCTTTAAATAAAAAAAAAGAAAGAAAAGAAACACTAGACACTAAAAATCAATCATTTTTAAATGCTGCAAGTGACTTCAGTAATCACTAGGTGTTGTCAAATATATATAATTCAGTGTGAAGATGCATTGCTGCTTAAAAGTCAGACTACATTATGTCTGCTCAGACCCACCTCAACCCCTAGAGTCAAAGTACTGTATAAAGCTGTGATTTCTGTGTAAATGCATTTATGCCACTTCTGAGCATCATTAAACACCAAATGCCACTTCAGATTCTAAAATCGGCTCAAAATATCAATAATGTTTGGTCCTCTGACTGACTGGATTTATAGACTGAAGCTAAAAAAACGGAAGTCTGTGCCCATCACGAAGTGCACAATTTTCTGTGAAATCTTTTCTGCGATTTCTCAAATCGGCAGACTTTCGGCAACTACCGCTGACTTGTCCTGACTGTAAATCGGGGCTAAAATCTGGGCAAAATCGGTGTTGTGTATTCCAGCCTTGAGCCAACTTACTGCCGATGACCAAAGAGAGTGAGAGAGAGCAACACTGTGTGTGTTTGTTTGAATGAAGTGTGTGTGTGTGTGTGTGTGTGTGTGTGCGCGCGTTTTTGTGACAAATGAGGACATACATTTGTATAATGACAAGGGTATAACATAGGTATTACAAGGAGAAGGTGACTTTTCAGGACATTACCCCATGTCCCCACTTTTCAAAACGCTTATAAATCACACAGAATGGAGTGTATTGAAAATCTGAAATAGCACAAAGTTTCCTGTGAGGGGTAGGTTTAGGGGTAGGGTTGGTGTAGGGCAATAGAATATACGGTCTGTTCATGTTTTGTGCACTTCATTTTGTGCCAATTGTTCCCCGTGATAATGAATATCAAATGTGCACTTTTCAGTTTAATGTGACAACACTAGTCATCACAGCATTATAATATACAGTGTAAAAAGTGCAGATTTGATTTTAAACATAAGAACCCCTAAACTCTCCTGTTCTTGTTGTTCATGAGCAGATGGAGCTGATTCCAGATCCGGATCCTGATGAAGAAGGGACTAAAATAAGTGTGAGTACATGACCTATGGCTATATATTCAGAATGCACTACTACATACTGTAGAAACCGTATTTGCAATGATACAGTCAATTATGACATGTCTATGATTGCTGGGAGAACAATCTCTTTATTAAAGCTGGTACATGCAGTTGCTCTGGAAATATGACTACAGTTATTCTGACGTTTACTTGATTAAAATCACTCAAGATTTGACAGCAGAAAGCTACACTATTGTACAATTACACTAAAAGAGCTTTGACTGCATATAAAACTCTAAACTATCAATCAGACAACAGGATCTCCATGGAGGAGATTGTGTGCGACAGCAAAGTTTGATTGTTTAGAGGCTTTTACACATCAAATATGATACAGTAGGCGTTATAGGGTTAAATAACTTGACGGCACCTCTGCTGTTATGAAAGGCCTCTAAAGCAAAGAAACTTGCAAATAAAGATTTTATCGGTTGGTCTAGAGCAGCAAGTTCATGTAAGGATTTGTCTTCCATTCTCTTCACAGACAGCCAAGGTCCAAGGCAATGACATCTCCCACAATCTGCAGATCTCTCGGGTGAGTAAGAACGACGAGGGTCTGTACGAATGTCGCGTCACAGACGCTAACTACGGAGAGCTGAAGGAGTACAAGGCTCAAGCCTACCTGAAAGTCAACGCCACCATCCGCCCTCGCAACAGGGCCATTAAGAAGAGCTCTCCGCTGCACCTGACTGATAAGAAACCCCGCAAGAGCAGCTCGGCTCTCGGCCAGGACAGCGACAGCATGAGTTCAGACCAGAGGTCCCAGTCCACTTCTACTTCACAGACGGCACACTCCAAAACAGTGGAGCACAGCACAGGGTCAGGTACGAGACGCTTTACGTGCGCTTCAGGGATCTGTTTCTGTCTCTAGCATTCAGTCATTGTGTTTCAACATGTTTGCGGATTGCCATTAGAAATGGGTTCATGTGCATCTGCAAGATTTCATTATCAATCGTCTGTGATGCCATAGAATGATAGATATTGCAGTGTTGAGGGAATTTTCAAACTGAAATCAAAGGTGTTTTTGTGCTGACCACTGTATTAAATACTATGCACTACTGGAAAAAAATAAAAAATCCTTCTACTGAGCGACTTTTAATTAGCATTTAAAATATGTAATAACAATGAATATTTGAGCAAGATATTTATGGCCAATCACTGCGAGTGTAATAAGCTACATTTAATTACTTCAGCGTTTATGTAATTGGAATTCAAACTCGATTTGCAGCCAGTTTGTAAAGTTTCACATTACTGTACGTACTTTTTATTGCAAGTATAATACTTGTACATTTTCATTGCTATATAACAATGTCTTTAAGTGTTTTACCGTGAGGGAAAACAATGCAACCAGTTATTATGGCTCTTTAAATTAGCTACAGCATAATATTGCAAATGTAAATATAATAAGCATATTTGTACATATGTAATAGGTTTCATTTGCATGGAGCATGGAGTCATTATGATTGTATTGTCTGTAGGTACTCTATTGACCTCAAAATAGCAAATGATTTGTCTTTTGAAAGGAAACATTGCCTCAGTAAATTATATAT